CCCCCCCTTCCCCCCCAAATTTCCCTTTAAAAAAAAACCCGCGCAAATAATTTCGCCCGGTTACGGGCCCCCCCCGCCCTTACTTCAAACAAAAACCGGAGAGCCCACACCAAAGCCGTCCCCCCCTTTCCCCCCGAATCTCACGTGTGCCGGAGCGAGGATACGAGTGGTCACGCACGACGCGCCCAGCAAACAAACGGGGTCAGACAAAAAAACCAAGCACCAAGCATGTCAATGCAACGTGCCTTGTGTCTGGGGGTCGAGGGCCGGGCTGATGGGCACGTCCTTGTCGGGCGGGGATGGAAGAAGAGACAGGCGGAGCGAGGTAGTGTTAGTGCATGGGATCAATATACCTGAGAAGCTGGGGGATGGGATGGGCGTGGTAGGAAGGAGATGCGTATGTACCGGTCGGTACATGCAGTGCGCGAAATATCACGCGGAGGGAAGAGGGGGGGGGGAGATGTGACTTTGATACCTTGGTTTCCCCTGCGTCAGGCTGTATGTATTGCTTGCTTGCTTGCTTTGCGCGAGCAAAAAACAATAACCTCCAATTGCAAAGTGGAGAAGGGGTGGCTCCGTCTCCGCAATCTGCTGGCCCTTCTCTCGGGCGCCGTCGTGCGCTCCCTCAGTGAGGACAAGGACGAAGTGTGCAAGGTCCCCTGAGACAGATCATGAATCGGATTTCAACTTCTCTTCCGCCGTGAGATCTGCCCCAGGACCACGACTGCAAGCATGGGCTGATTGTTCGGCTGGTGGCATGATAAGGCCGAGCAGAGAAAGCAGGAAGCTGACATGTGCACACACACACACAGTCACATACCTACTCCAAGCCTTTGCCTTTGTCGCTGCCGCCCCTGCTTCCAAACATCCCGGTTCGGGGGTGTGCATTTCTCCATGCCTGCAAGATCTTGCTGGTGCATTTTCCTAATGAGATCTGTCCGAATGGCCAGACTTTGTTTTCTTTTCTCCTCGATCCTGCGACTTGGTGGGCATGATGGCATAGAATCCTCTATCAGGGCGAATCCCACGACCCATCCCGGTAGAATGTCGCCCCGTAGACCGGGAAGTGCCCTCCAGTCGTCCGGCCGATGGGAGGTTTGTGCCAGCTCAGCTGCGCCAATCCCCCCGCATGCTTTCGCTTCATTTGAGAGACAAATACTTGATTGTGTAGAGGTCTGGACCCTTTTGATGCGAAACGGCAAGGCTGGGCAGAGAGTGGGCGTGCGCTGATCTTGGGTTGCAATGGCCAACGCTTGGTTGACGCGTCCGTATGAGGACATGCGCGCGATGACGAATGATTTCGACCGTTCGGTGCGATTGTGATAAAATAATGAGGCCACATTGAGTGCCGATGCGGCAGGTCGATCAGCCGTTCGTAGTTGCAGTGCATTGGGTTCGGCAGTTTACGATCAATCTGGGCATTGATGCGCAGATTTCGAGACATTTGACAGGCCAGCGTGAATGCAACTGGTGGGAGACTTTCGGACTTAGCAGTGCGAAATTGCATCGTTGCAGATTGAAGATGCGATCTGGTTCCTAGTCACATTGCAATCATCAGCAGCACCGTCTTGAGACCGAGACCAAAACTCCGATACTAACGCTTCGAGCAGATCTCTTGGTAGTCACACGTAACCTGTAAAGCCGTACTTTGTACAAGGTAGCGAGGCCAAGTCGACTGGTTGGAGTGCGCTTCAAGGTCGCCCGGGGGCCACCTTGCGCCAGCATCGGCGCTACCACCAGAGTGACCAAATACACCCAGCGACGCCACGACCTTGTGTCAAGCCTTAGGTCGTACGATCTGATTGCGACAGCTCATGGGAGCCTGGTTATGCACGACTCGGTATTCCTTCCGAAGCTGGTGGGAGCTGGAGCTTGGTTCTGTTCAAGGACGCGCTACTGCTAACGCATTTTGCGAGATCTGAAACGCGGGTTTGAAGATCTTCTCGAACCTGTCAGAGAGTTTCGTGAAACGTCCGGCCGAGTACCACCTCTTCCAGCGCCGATAATTGCCTCTATTGCACTCGCATGATTTCTCAACAGCGCACAAGACGATTGCTATAGTTTCGCACGAGGATTTGCAGGCGCACATTGCGTTGCGAGAAATGATTATTTTTGGAATGAGAGCCCAACACTGTACATGTGTAATGAACTCAGCTTCGGTGCCAGGTCGCATGCACAGTAGGATTAGGAAGCAGTAAAGGGAATTGCTGTTACACGCTACACAAGGACACATGGTGCGTGGGCATGTTTCCGGTTCTCGTCTGTGGCCGCGACCAGCGGTGTGGTTGTGGAATGTGCAGCAAGGAGTAATGGGGTACAAGGACGTCGTGGGACGATAATAGCAGCAACGCCGCTTGTGTAGGGCGAGCAGGTCGCCGTAAACCTAATATCAAGTCTGCGAGAAGAAACGGCGCACGCTGACAGAGACGGCTGTCTGATGTAACGCCACATACGAGCGATTGCGCAAAAAAGGAAACGAAGTCGACGTACATGCGGCTACGCTTGCGGTGAATGCAATCAGAACCTCAACTTAAGAAGCGGGAGAGACTGTGGGACAAGGAAGAGTAGCGCCCGCCCTACCGTGGAATTCTGAATCTCGATTGCGTCTTTGACCATGTTATGTACCGAGATGAGAGGCATTGGCGAGCAGTCTCATAAGGCTGCTTGTTTCTTTCCAGAAGGCCGCTAGAAATGGTAGTTGGGATAGGGTACGCTAAGACCGTGAAACAGCTGCAAAGATCCATGGTCATCACCAGACAGCACATTGGATGCTCACCGCAAAGGTGTAGGAGTACACAGTACAGACCTTTACGCAGTAGCTGCATCATTCGCAATGCGCTGGGCTTCGCAGCTTAAGATACTCGGAGCACAATCTCCGCGGGTAAGATGATTGATGCGTCGCTATTGGCGAGGGAAGGAAACCCACGCGCTTTGTTGAGCGCGTGCAAACTTTTGTTTCGAGTCCGCTACCGGTACCTCGAGTTGAGCCGTAATATTGCGACCGCAACGTAGGCACCTGCAGGATACAGTTTGTTTGTCTCTAGCCGAAGAGAGAAGGGGGATAATACAGAGGTCTGCGTGACGATATGCGCTCGGCTGGTAGAAGTCAAGCCTGGTAAGCATGGCCCTGCCTGATAGCCCAGTGCGAACAATGTGATGTGTCGAAAGTTCGCATTTTCAACCACATGTCGCTATCTGTACGGTAGCTGGTAGGGTGTGGTAGAGTATGCGGGACTAGGCAGGCGCGACAAGCGTGCGCTTCAGCAGAATCAACCCGTCCGGAAGCACTTCCGGCAGAAAACAGGGCATGTGGATTGCGCGGCACTTCCACTTGCACTTCCACCATGGGGAGATGGCTCGTCCTGATAATACCTATGTAGACCCGGTAGAGGCCTGTAACATGTGTAGTATGTACCTGCACCGTATGTAGAAAAGAGCCTGATGGGATACTGCAAATGCTTCTGATGCGTCGAGACGGATGGCTCGTGTCGGACATGATGAAGCAGTCACAGCTCGCTGCACGCATGACGGATGAATCCATGATGAAATCCTTTGCTCCAGGAATCTGCTCGAATCCTCATCGTCATCAGGCCTCCAACTTGCACGGAAGTTGCGGGAGGCCGGCGTAGTACTCCATCTACCGTGCTCTACAACAGCCTCAGACGCAAGTCTTTCGTTGAAGCCAGGGTTGGCACGGGACCTTGCTAGAGCCAAAGTCGGTCAGAAGATCAAGACCGATTCGACCAATCACGAATGAGATCTTGGGGCTGCCAGAATTGCCGCTCATGGGGTAACCTTTGCGAATGACGACTCGCTTCGAGCAGCCGTCGTTTATGAGGATTGTGGAGGAAGTGCCGCTTGTACGAGGGCAATAGCGATGAGGCTGTCTAGAGTACTTACGCTTGGCTTCAAGTTCAAGATTCGACATGATCGAAATCGCAACTGAAATCCCGTCCTGAGAAGCGAATGCATCGAGAGATCTATGCTAGGGTGCGCCTCGTCCCCCATGTCGTGTGGGCGGCCTTCCGTCAACGGACGGGAAGCAGGGCAGGGTCGAAAGCGGCTGGCGATCCTCAAACCAGGGCGTATGACAGGATGTGTCTGAATAGCTCGGCCGCCACTACATCGCTGAAACTCACGTTATATCCTACTGGCGTTGAAACATGGCCTCTGATGGCGACAAGTCTGCAATTGTCAGATTTAATCTCAATCGATTTTGCTGCCATGAGAGCCTGCATCCTCGGCCTTCTACTACTACTGTCTGCTAGTTTTCCATCGCATCCTTGCCTGGGCGCAGAAAAAGATGAACCGTCTTCTGGCACGGGCTATTATGCCGGTTATCGCCCGTGACGTGATATGACGGAAAATGGAATCATAATGCTTTCGTATAGGTACTGTGTATGAGGCAAAGCGATGGGATGATGAGCTTGATGCTTATGACGTCTCGATTCAACGTCCAAATGAACATAAGCATTTTCTCCGAGGGGTGTCAAGTGCATTTTTTGGGACTGCTACAGCGTACATGCAATGCATATCGAATCGGGGTTTTCAAATGGTGTGCACCACGACAGTCGTTTACAATGTGCACCGTTCAGCGCTAGGAAGTCCATTTCCGGGACGAGTCGGGATCCATGTGCGGAAGTGTGGCACAGAGTGCCCCTGTGATCGTCCTCTGTTGCGTCCAGGCCTGTATCCCTGCTTCCCGTCAAAAAGACAACGGCTAGGACAACGGTACTTGGTAAGATGTTGTGATACGGTATTCCCACTGATTGCTTTGGCCCACAATGCTAGGCGGAGAGGGAAAAACTGAGTCTGCTCTGGAGATTTTTGCTAGCGGAGAACTAGTGTTGGCATGTAACGGTGGGCAAAGGCAATTTCCGTAGGACAGCACATGGTGGTCAAGATTTGTCCGGAGATGGACCGCGGTAAAGACTAGGCTGAAGAGCAGATTTTAGTGGCCATGCACGTCGCCGTCAGCCATTTCTTTGAGCAACCAGCAATGCGGCTGCCGTGAACCATTCATGGGCTATCCACAGTACATCTGATGTGGTACGGCGTCAGTGTTTCGCCCTTCCATGACAAGATCGACGTGCCAATCTGCCACATCTCGTGCCACTTTGGTAAGCGTGGCGGAGTGCGCTGGTGGTTCCAAGGGCTGAGGCTGGGTGAGGGTGGGCAAGTCAACTTTTGGCTTGTACGAAATGCCGGTACAGACGATAGGCAAGCTTCGGGACCTGTAAGCTTTGCGCAACCGAGGCTTACCTAAAAGGAGATGCGCGCTGCTTGTGTGCCACGTGCGCGGATTGATGTGGATAGGTAGGCAGTGGTACCTACCTACTGTAGAACAACAAAGTCGCATGGCAAGATGGGCAGCTTGTGGTGACCAGCAAAGGGGAATTGCGGCGTTGAATTAGAGTTGATCGTTGCTCGGTACCTGACCTATCTCCCTTGTCGTGAGCATGGCCAGGCAGCTTGGTGTACTCAGGGATTCTCCGCACCCCACTGCGAACGCCTCGCTCGGAACATTACTGTCCAGGTCCCATGTCACGATCGTGACCGGGAGCGTCAGGCTCGCGACAAGGGACAGTATGTAGGTACAGTAGGTACCGGTAGGTATGTATGTACAATATGTATGTATTCTTGGCCCAGACCATGTTCAGTGTTGGAACCTACTTGGTATGTATTTGCAATGCAAAACTGTCGCGTGTGCCGTCTGTCTCAGGCGTGGGAGTCCCGAGTCACGGTGGTGGAGTGTGCTTAGAAAGCAAGTGGCCATGGGAGAGTTGATACGTTGAGACGTGTGAGAAGCGGGACAGGATTGCAGCGGAAAGGTGCAAGCGAACAAAATGGAGCAAGTACAGCGAGAAGCAATCTTGTCGTCAGCGGGGCGAGCGCTGCAGCAATGGACACAGTTTTACGATTAGGGATCCAAGATGGAATCGATAGTATGCGGTCATTCGTCCGGATGTTGTGGTGTTCAGCGCGCGTCGAGTTCGCGTCGAGCATGAACGGCAATGTTGCCAGGAATAGGCGCAGATGTATAGGCAATTCTTCCCTAGTGACTCGTGAGGCCACTTCCAGGGGGGGAGGTGGGATGGGTTCGACCTGGTCCTAGTAGGCGAGTGGGCAGGGCTGGCCCCAATGCATGAAGTTGGGTCAGATGAGAGCGATGGGCCCCTGAGGGTTGGTGGTGCTATGGCCATGGGGGTGCATTCGTTTCGGTGCCATGGCGCCGTGGTGGGGTTGGGGGAGTTGACAGGGCCGATCAGCAACGATTCTCGTCAAGCAGCCCTTGACCCGTCTCCCGAGGGGCGATTCCGTCGTCAGCAAGCACCGCGTGGCCGATCCGAAACCAGGCTGGCATGGGCTGATGTGTTGCGGGCGTGCTTCGGCCACTCAGCTTGGGCGACGTTTTAGGGGGGGGGGGGTGGGAGGGAGCACAAAGGAAGCAAAGAGCGAGCCTGCAGGCGCGTCGCTTGGTGTGGCAGGCAATACAATGGCGAGATACTGCAGTGGGCCGTTTTTTTTTGGGCGCATCTTCTCACCGGCCGCGCCGTCCAATGAGGCGTGCGCTGGTGGGCCGGCAAGAGGGCTTGGTGCAACTGCCAAACGGTTGACTAGCGGCCGTGCAAAATAGACTCGAGCCTGGCATGGCAGCATTGTAGTATTGCCCACGGCAGAACTCTGGCGCAGAGAGAAAAACCAAATAAAAAGGTGACGGGCCGTGACGCGTCTCTCTCGTCAGTGGCCGGTGCACGGGGTGGTCTGGTGAGGATGGTGAAGTGAGTTTGGAGGGTTGAAAGTGGAAAGGCATGTTGTAATTTGTGGGTGTAGTGGGCGTAGTGAATGTATAGCGGAGGGTATATCAGAACAAAGATGGGGCTCATAGACGGGCGGCCCAATAGACAACAATACAATCCTTGGCCAGGCCACACGAGATGGGCGAGGGTACTGTGCGGCCGTGGTGGGTGGTGACTGCCTATCTTGTGCATTTACCCGAACGAGCCGTTGTGGACTACCGTACCGTAGTAGGTAGAGTATGTATGCACCGGTAAGTGGGAAGGTCTGGCAGGTGCATTCTGCACAGCAGACAGACACAGAGGCAGGCGCGATGACATGACAGGACCAAAGGGAAGGCACAACACACTCGTCTGGCGAACCGAATCCAACCTACGCGCGATGGAAGTGCCAGTGACAGTGACGTGACATGCTGACATGGACAAGCGTGCAGTAGCAGACAAGACGAGATTGGCCAAGTTAGCTTACCATACTGTGTTGTCGGTACTCTATTCAGGCAGTGGTACCTACCGTCCATGGCCTACTCGTACACTAGGCGAGGGAGCCCAGATTGGTAAGCGTTGCTGTTGTTTAGGTATGTGCTAAGAGAAAGCAGAGAGAAAAGAAGAAGAAAAGAGACAAAGAGAGAAAGAGACTTGGGGATGGATGCCAGCGTCGGATCGGATGTTCGACATGGAACCACAGGAGAAAGAGGGCTGCCCCACATGCCGACTGTAGGAGTACCATAGTAGTAGAGTAGGATGTGAGTTTTTTTCTAGCACTTGTCAAGTACCGGTGGCGGTAGCTCAGGCCCTCAGGTCCGTTGGTGTTGTATGATGGTATCATGGACTTGCCTACTTACTGTACGACTTGAAAGTCTATTAGTCATCGTGCCGTCACTTGGGTGTTGCTGTCCCAAGTCGAATGTACTGCCAACCTTACCTTCTCTGCCAGTCCTCTCTGCCAGTCCTGCCCGCCAGAGTGGGCAAGCGTGCATGCGTAGTTGACGGTACCAGACATGACAGGGTAACTGCGCTTGTCTCTTTTTGGTTCCTCCGACTGTCAAGTTCAACAAGAGCAAGAGCGACAAATGCCTTGCTACTAGAGTCGAGTAGAGTAGCCACTGTACCTAACTTGCTGTCGCGCCCTCTCCAGCCTCTCAGCTCCGAGTCCCACCTTTAACACAGATACACAGACACAGACACACACACACACACACACACACACACACACACACAAAGTCGCCAGTACCACATTCTACTTGCTCAAACGCCTCCACAAACTCACACACTCACACACCCACACACCCACACACCCTCGTCCCTCGTCCCTCCCTCCATCGGGCTTCTCGCGGCCCCGTCTTGCAGCATTGCGCCGGCTGACCC